ATGCTGCAGGTCTCACTGTTAATGCAACTAAATGCACCGTTGCCAAGACAGAAGTTCAATATCTCGGACACATTATTGGCAATGGAGTCATCAAACCACAGATCCAGAAGGTTCAAGCAATTCAGTCATGTCCTCTGCCGCAAACCAGGACACAGCTGAAATCCTTCCTTGGAATGTCAGGTTGGTACCATATAGTTCATTCCAAACTTTTCTGCTTTTCTGCTGTGCTTACAGATATGACCAGTCCCAAGAAACCCAATCAGCTACAGTGGTCAGAGGAGGCAGAGAGAGCATTTAAGGACATCCAAGGCGCCTTGAGTGGACCTCCAACATTACACTGTCCGGATTTTGAATAGCCATTTATTTTGCAAACTGATGCATCTGGACATGGGCTGGGAGCAGTGCTTCTTCAAGGGCCTCCAGGGGAGCGCCATCCTATTGCTTTTATAAGCAGAAAGCTCTACCCAAGAGAAACTCGATACTCAACCATAGAAAAGGAGTGCCTAGCTGTGAAGTGGGCCTTGGATTCACTCAAATATTATCTGTTGGGGACATGGTTCATCCTAGAAATGCAACACAAGGCTCTGAAATGGCTTGAAAGGATGAAAGACTCAAACAGCAGGATAACCCACTGGTACCTGGCGATGCAACCGTTTCAGTTTGTTGTCCATCACATCCCTGGGAAGCTGAACACTACTGCCGACTACCTGTCACGCTGGCCCATGGAGCCTCCAGAAGTGGGGGAGTGTGTGGAGGTTCCTCCATCTTTTCTTCAGTTTGAAGGACTGGCTGAGTGGAAAGGACTGGTTGGAAGGCAAACCAGGTAGTGGGACATGCCATCAGGCTGCTGGAAGCATGGGACTTGATATTAGAGTCTGCTTCTCTCTCTCCACTTATGGCATAACTGTTGAAGCATTTTTGGTGTTATGTTGTTTTCTTTTGATAGTTGTGTTGTAGTCAAAAGGTGTTAGTTAGAATTAGTTATTTATGTTTATGCATTGTGTGTTTTTGTCTCATCTCCCACCCCTCCTCGTTTGTGTAGGCTAGCCTTTGTGTATAAATTACCCTGTGTGTTCATTGTGAGGTCAGAGATTTGGTTTGTTATCCTGAGTTAGGTATGCCTTAGTTGATTTCATTTGGGTACATTTTGTTATATTTTTTTGAGATTTGATGTAAGCCCTTCTTTTGTGAAGATTATTTTTGGAAAATAAATAGAGAATACTTTTTATATGCCTTTGTCCTTGTGCCTTACTGGACGGACCACCACACAATGCAATCACATAATGCATATGTTCATAAAATGCTTGTAGTGCACTTAGTAAAATCGAAATTATAGAACTTAGACTTAGACGCAACTTTATTTATTCCTTGGGATTACTCCTTCACGGAAATTTGGTTCCAGTAGCTATATAGGGTACAAAGAGTTGAAGCAAGATGGCATTAAAGATAAACATACAACAGACAATATGAAAAGTGTGTGTGTATATAGTATAAAAAAGAACAATTGTAATGTCCTGGAATATGTTTCCTTTAGATATAAAAATATCTGCACAGTAGAGAGATAAAGGCAGACTTAACAGTAGTAGACTTGGGTTATTTCCCTTGCACTGCAGAACTGTACTGACAATATAGAGAGGTGAAAATTATACAGACTACACAGTAGTTGACTTGGATTAATTAACTAGAGTTTTACTGACCTTATAAGTAAAAAAATACACAAGCTACACAGTAGTTGGCATGTGTTATTGCACAGCAAGAGAGAAGAATATATCACATGAGTGACAATAGTTAAGGTTTTTCCTCCTTCCCCCAAGTGAGGAGTTGAACAGCTTGATGGCTTGGGGAACAGAGGAGTTCAGCAGTCTGTTTGTCCTGCATTTGGAGAGGAGCAATCTCTCAGATCAGGCTCCTCTGAGGGGTGAAGAAAGTGTGCAGAGGGTGACTGGCATTGTTCATTATGTCCAGCAGTTTAAGTGTCCTTGTCTCAACCACCATCCCCATAGGGTCCAGCTTCTTGCCAATCACAGAGCTTGTGTTCTGTCAGATCAGCGTACCCAGAGTCAATACGCATGCGCAAGACATCCGATTTTTCGTTTATTCATGTAGTTTTGTACGACAAATAGACATTAAACTCCCTCAATGGGAGTGTATCCCTTTAGTCATGTACAAAAAAAACGAAACAATTTATGGTCAGATCACCATGTAAACAAAAAAAACACTAAAAAAGTAAGAATTTTTAATTTTTTTTGTATATGACTGAAGGGATACAGTACACACCCATTGAGCTGAGTTTTCATACAAAACTAAAGGGATAAATTAAAGAGATAGATGGGTACTGACTATGGGTATGCTGGTCCAGTTTGTCCTGGAGGTGTCCTTCAAGGATGTGCTGCTCCCCCAGCCCACCACTGTGTAGAAGAGAACACTGTATGGGAGCAATATTGTTGCAAAATTATATGCAAAAGTGTTTGGAGTGTTGTGTGTCTGTATCTAGATTTGTGTGTGTGCAGTAGGATTGGAAAATGTCTGAGGAGATTTGTCTTTCTGTACGAGTATCTGCAAATATGTAAAGAGAGAATTTGTATGTGTAATATCTTGATTTGCTGCCCTAAGTGGAAAGGGACGTCTTTCTAGCACCGCTGCCAGTTGTCAATCATGTTTTCCTGCCCACTCCCTTCAGACTGGGGTTAAAATCTGAATCTGAAAAAGACTGATTTGAAATTGTAAAACAGAAATCCTTAAACTGAAAAAGGACCTAAAAGAAAAAGGATTTGAATCTAAAAATATAAAATCTAAAACTACAATAAAGAAAGAAAAGAAAAAAGTATAATTATAATACTAAACTGAGATTCTGTTCTTGTTATTCTTTGTTTGCTTTTATAGTTTCTCACATTATAAGGTTAAAAAAAAAATTGACATTAAATATCATTATTGTATTTTTTCAGTTTCAACTAAGATTTAGAAGTTTCCGAACATTTTGACCCCTTTCTGACTCAATAAATTAGGTCTAAAGACTGTTCTCTTCATATTAAAGGTAAACTATGCAACCGGTGTTGATTTTCCAGCGAGGCTCCCCCCAGAGGGCGAAAGTAAAAGTGCACTGTCGTAAATATGCACAGCTGTTCTCCTGGTTTCTCCGTCAAGCCAGGCACGGTTGTTTTGAGCTTAGCAGACAGGCAAACGCAACGAATGACTAATGCTGCGTTTACACTGGACGTAGCTAGCGAGACAGAAGCAGCGAGTTTACATGCAAAGTCAATGGTTGACGCGCGTCAAGGCGCAGCAAAAGGTCCCGCGGCGCGTTTTGAGCAGGCGCAGCACGTCTGAACAGCTGAAGCAGCGCGTCGGGCGCGTTTAAGCATCTGACGCAGGGAGAGAGACACAGCGCTGATGATCACTCCTCTTAAACAGTTTATTGACGCCTAAATTAACTTAGAATGCAGAAATCTGCCGGCAGAATATGCAGTTTGGATTATTTAGATGAAAAACACCTACCAGCTGCCGCGGTGAACCGCAAGGAGGCGACCCGGCCAGAGGCTGCTGATTAAGGGATCCCTACTGTCGGCGCACCGCTGGTATGTGGGGGTCTGAGCGGCTCCGACAGAAAAAATATTGAAGGCAGGATAATAATCTGAATGAACTGACGGCACTGATTACGTTTTCAGGTGTATTTTCTCACTTAAACACATATTAAAACTACTTTATTCCCACTGATCACAGCAAATATAGCTGCAAGGCAGAGAAAGGATAGTGAAGCTCCGCCTAACGCGTGTCAGACACACTTTTGCACCGCGCAGCCAGAGCAGCAAAGCTGCTTCAGCTGCGCGTCTGAACTAACTGGTACAAGCAGCAAAAATGAAGCAGCAGACGCGATTTTGCTGCGTCCGATGTGAACGTAGCATAACTGCACAAAGATCGCCACTGTGCTAGCAACGAGAATGCTTTTAACTGGGGGCGTGTAGCAGTTCTCGCCGTAAAGCAAGACCGACTCTCGCGAGACTTCTGAGCCTGTGGGTGCGGGTCGGTGCTCCTGCAATTGCAAGTGCGGTATTTCCCCCACAGACCACCAGGGCGGCCGAGAATACCTTTGTTCAACCTGAAATGAATCATTTAATCATCCATAACGTTATGGAACACATTAATTAACTGAAAAATGTTGCATAGTGTGCCTTTAAAATTTACAAAACATTACCGACCTGATTTGTCCACTAGATGGCACTGTAAAACAATAAGATTACCTAAGTGGAAATATTTAAACTTTTCATAAAATAAGACATTATTCAAAGATGGAATCAGGCAAAAACTGCAAAAAATATATTTTTTCTTAACATGAGTAGCTCACATTGTTTTTTGTTAAACTAAGGCACCTCATGAAGGGAAAAAGGTTGGAGACCCTTGGTTTAAAGTGTAACAAATAACCAACTTAGCTATAATATTTGTAAAACATTAAAACCAGATTACATACATAACAAAATTATAAGTACAGTTAAGTCCAAAAGGATTCATGCAGGTTGCATATTTAGGTCTAAATTATGTTTAAAAATGTACTCTGGAAAAAACGATCTAGAAATAAAAATAAAATTCTTAACTTAATTATGTTTACCCTTAATTTGAATAGGTAAATGAGATAGTTTGCCAATGGAATAAGTATATTTTACTCTTATTAAGATAATCAGATAATATGCACTTGAAATAAGACAATGCAATTGCGTTTTCTTATTTTAAGTGTAAATTGTCTTTTCCATTGGCAACATATCTCTTTTATCTCCTCGATCCAACAACAAATGCACTTATTTTAAACAAAAATGTCTTTCATGTCTGTCATTTCAAGTTGTCCCTCCAGATTCCTGTCTTAAATCAGATGTAGCGATATAATGATGATTAGTTCTGTCGTCATTTAAAAGGAACAAGCATTAGCAGTATACAAAACCCAGGCTGACCACTTCCTGTATGTGTGCTATTTGCAGTATCTTCCCCCAAGATAATGATAATTTTCAAACGTTTAAGCCTGTGAAGATGTAATTCTCTCACAGAGAGGGTTAATAGAGTCTGTTCTGCCTGTGCTGATGCTACGTGTCCTTCTTCTTGGCCTCTTTCATTAAGGTATGTTCACCTTCACTGCTTGACTACCCTAAAATTGATCATAAAGTCTCTTCCTGCTGTTTATTGTTATAGTAGACAAGCAATGACTAAATATACTTACATGTATTATTCAGCTGCAATAATGTCATTCTGAATTAGTTCAGGTTTTAATACATGTCAGATTCTCACTGTTTAGAGACATAAACTGTGGCTATAATGTTACATTTTATGCACATAAACTATACAATATAATTACAATTAAATCAAACTTTGGTGAAGTCAAACTGTCTACTAAGGAAGCAACACTTATTGAGAACCAGTTTCTAATGCCGTTGAGCTAATGGAATAGACAACAGGTGGAAATAATTGTTTTTATTGGAGAGAAATCTGCTGCCTGCAACATCATTCAGCATAACTAGTTTGTCAGGGGGTTAGTAATGGTGTAGGATGGCGCTTCTTTTGTGGCAGAACCCTCCATGTGCTCGCCGAGTTAGCATGGCAACAGCTAGATACTGAAATTAGATCCTCAGACCCAGGCTCGGACTGGGAACAATTTTTGGCCCTGGCACTTTTTTATCGATGCAAAACCTCATCATGCACTGCAACATATTTTTGCAAAATGTTTGAACATAAATTTGCCAAATATCAGAGGAAGATCATAGTTTGGTTTAAAGAATGCATTTTAGTTTAACTATAATTTAGTTCGTTGCAAGGATTTTTCAGTTTGAAGAAAGAGAAAATGACACCATATGCCACTCGTTACCAGGATGTGCATGACAAGGAAGGGCTATATATATATATATATATATATATATATATATATATATATATATATATATATGTACTGCATGCATCAATTAGGTAGTTAACATTGTATTACTTCTGGAGCTCCTTGAGCTATTTACTGTCACAGGCAGGTGCTTCGACCGGAGAGTGTTGGGGCCGGTATGATTTAAGGAGGGCCGGCCCTCGCACGCTGAGATTAGGACCAGCCCACCGGGCAAATGCCAGGTGTCATAGACCTGGCAGTGACCCCCTGCTCAGACCCCTTGTGAGTCTATATGCTGGTGCCATTGGCTCTGGGTTTCTCTCTAATTCAAGGCAATGCTAGCTAGACCTCATCTGGCTGGAGTGTATAAATAGTTCCCACAAGATGAAGGCAATGAGGCTATGGACTGGACCGCCCATTCCCCAGATGTCCCACATGTGGGTCATCATGTCTCAATCCATCCACCGTCACTTTGCACCACAGACTCTGCAGGAGTTGGTGGATGCATTACTCCATTACTGGGAGGAGATCCCTCAGGAAACCATCAACCACTTTATCAAGGGCTTGCTCATTGTAGGGAGGTAATTCAGGCACATTGAGGCCACACACCATACTGAGCCTTTATACTCATTTATTCACTTTAATTGTGTGTGTTCTGTCATGTTGGGGTTCAGGTTTCTAACCCACATGCAGAACACCCAGGAGTCAGAGTAAAAGTTTAACAATTTATTGAAAGTATGCACAAAGGTTGACAGATACTGGAATCGGATCCGGGACTGGTCACACAAGGCTCTCTGCAGAGAGGGACAGTTAGGTTAGCCAGGCAGCTAATGATCTTGTAGCTGAGAGAATGTGCAGATCTGTACCTGTTCAGAAATTCAGGCTGAGCGGTAGAGGGAGGGAACCAGGAGGGTCTAGAGACTGATCGATGGCAGACGGCTTGGCAGCGACAGAACTTAGCTTCAGGCTTGAGAGTGTTCAGGGCTTCTCCTAGTTGCTTCCTGAAGGATGGTACGCAGATCCAGACAGTTTGATCTTCAGGTTTGTTACTGAGAGCAGGCAGGCAGGTTTCAGGCAGGTTTCAGTTGAGTAGCTCTTCCAGAGCTCCAGGTCTCAGTCAGATTCTTCCTAGTAGGCAAAGAGGACAGAAAACTGATTAGGTTCAAGTCAGACTTTCAGAGAATCAGGCAGGCTGGTTGGCTCAGGCTTGCTAACCGTAACTGGCTTAACACTCTGGCGCTGAAGGGTAGTCCTGCCGCTGCTTATATGCTGATCTCCCTGATGAGCAAATCAGCCGCAGGTGTGGTAATCAGCTTTAGCTCCAGGAGACCTAGGGCGCCCTCTGCTGGAGAAAAGTGGACCGATCTCCAGATCCCAACAGTGACTGTAAATCCAGGGCCCCATTGGTTAGTAAATTTGATTTCCATTGATGATTTCTGTGTAATTTTGTTGTCAGCAAATTGTACTTTGTACAGAACAAGTTATTCAGTCAGAATATTTCATTCATCCAGATCTAGGCTGTTTTATTCAAGTGTTACCTTTATTTATTTATTTATTTTTGTGCAGTGTATTATTTCTCACAGTTGCTAATGCTGTTATTCAGAGTCATCCCTGTTTATAATACATGTTGACTTCCTTGGTTATTCCTACATCTAACAAACTCTACAATGTTGAAAAGGTTTCATTTTGTGAGATAATAGTAGTAGAAGTAGGTTTTCCTTGATCATTTCTATTTTTTAAACTGCAAGTTACAAAGTCATACGGGTTATGAATTAAGCTTTGTTTCATAATGTAATGAAAAGAAGAAAAAAATCAAAAACTGTATTGGCTGCACTTATTTTGCTCCCTGGTTTTCATAAGCAATGTAAAAAATGATGTGGTCACGTAGAATAGACAGGAGTAAATAAAAAATGCTAAAGGTATCTGCTAATCACATTTGACTTGGAGGTTGAATCCCTCTGGTATTCTGACAAGTTTATAGATTTGTTTGTTTTACTTGCTGTTGTCATGGTATCTGCATTTTGTTCCAGTCTATTTGTTGTGTTTGCAGCATTTTACTTGAGCAGTGTCTAATTTGGCTTTAGGTTTTGTGTCTGTTTCCTGTACATTTGCACTATACTTTTGACCTACATTATTTTAAATGTTCTTCATTAATGAGGTGACGGTCAGAAACAATAGCTTCATAAGTCTATACATGCAAAAGGATAAATGGCATGACGTGTTTATTACCAGCAAGGGTGCATGTTTCTGCAGCATTCTCTGCTGTCCTCTCCCTTACTCATTTTAAACTCTCAACTGAAAACCAGGATTCATTATAAATATAGTTTTAAGCTCTCACATTCCTGACCTTTCTAGCTAATGTATATATGCTGCATTAATAAAAATAGGATTTTTAAATACTATGCTCTGAAGCTGTTTTCTTGCCTCAAGGTTCCTGGTTTAAACTCCAGCATTGGGTCTCTCAGCATGTTGTAAACATCAGAGGTGGGTAAATAGTTACATGGTGTAAATCATATTTAGTTAGCCACTAAATGTTTAAGTTATCCTACTTAGAAAGGTAGCAGGTCAGAATTTATTCTCTGATAATTTCAATTATAAGAGAGGCAAAATGAGAAGAGAGTTGTCAAGAATATATTGGTAAATTATGGTGCTTATATGGGTTTGCTGAATAAAAAATGAGGATTTCTCTCCAATTTAATGTAAATACCTGATAAACTCTTCCTGTCAAAATTTGTCTTGTAACCAAAAGAAAATGTATTGTGCTTCTCTAATAGATATATAATAAAAGTAAACGTATTCCTTATCAATTAAGCTAGACAAATTTTCTCAGAATATTTCAGAGCTGTGCAGCTTTTAAAGAACGGGTTCTTATTTGTAAGTGACTGTGGTTTTAACATGTTCTATTACTGTGAGAACAGGAAACAGAGAGCTGCAGGGTATCTGCAGACAATGACCGCTTTTAAATGTATTTGTTGCAGTTAAAAGTTAGATACAATTTACACTGTTTATCCAGAAATGATTCAAAACATGTTTTAAAAGGAATGGAAGAGCTACAGCAAGGAGCACAGCTAGCCAAGATTTTGAACCAGCAACCTATTAAATAGGATTTAGATCCAAGATATTTTAACTGACATTTAGATACTGCTGAAAGCATAACTGGGATCTATTTTCAAGTTTTAAAACCCAGGGGAGTAGAAGTGACTGCTATCAATAGATGTTTTAGGATTTACGTGTGAAATTTATATGAGAAACCGTCGAAAATACAGATGAACCTTTTCCTGAAGCTACGAGTTTTAAAGCAAAAGTTAGAATTTGAGGTCAGGGTTGGTGAGAAATGTGACAGATGTTAGTTTTTCTTACTAAAAACAAACAAAAAAAAAGAAATTTTCAGAGTAAAAATAATGTGTGGTTAAACCAGATCCAAAGGTTGAGTTTTGAAAATTTGACTGTTTGTCAAACAATGAAATTCTGGGGCAACAGTGGCGTTTAATGAAGAAGTTTGCCCTTGGGCAGGACACTTCACCTGCATTCCCTACTGATGGTGGTCAGAGGGCCCGTTGGCAGAGGTTCATGGCAGGTTCACTTCTGTCAGTGAGCCCAGGGCCGCTGTGGTTACAATGTAATTTGCCACTAACAGTGTGAGTGTGAATTGGTGAATGACTGAATGTAGTATAAAGTGCTTTGATCAAGTCCTATGACTTGATCAAAGCACAATATTGTCATGATTGGTTTAAAGCTAAACCCACATGCAGAACACAAACGGAGGCTGAGTAAAAGTTTAACAGAGTTTATTGAAAAAGGTTTTCACACAAAAACATGAACGGGTTCTGGTACTGGTCCGGGTTGGGTTCACTGATGTCTGCAGAGACGGACAGTTTGATTAGCCAGGCAGACAGATGATTAATTGAGTCTTTAGATAATTCAAAGTCTACCTTGAAGAAGTCCAGGCTTTACTTGTGAGAGAGGTTGGGTCCAGAGACTGGTGGTTCAGCAGAGTGCACAAGCAGCAGCAGCGTCTAGCTTCTGACTTTGAATGGCAGACCTTGATCAGAGTTTCCAGCTCTTCTCTGAGAGCAGCAGGAGAAATCCAGATTAGAATCTTCAGCCCTGGCTCACCAGGGCTGGAAGGCAGGTTAAGCTCATCCAGAGCTTCAGACTTGAGACAGGTTTCCTGTGAGCAAAGATAGAGGCAGATTAGAATCAGGTTTCTCTCTTGAGATAACAAAGATTCTTTCAGGTAAAAGAGGCTCAGGTTCGCTAACCAAACTAAGTCAACACTGCGGCGTCGAAGGAAGGTCTGGTTGCTGCTTATGAGGGCAGGTCTCCTGATGGGTGATGAACGTCAGGTGTGCTGGAGGGCTCCAGCCCAGGAGACCCACAGCGCACTCTGCTGGAGAAAGGTGGTACATCTCCAGATCCCAACAGTACCCCCCTCTCAACCACCGCCTCTTGGCGGTCCCGAGGAAGTGGACGGGAGGGAACTCTCATACTCCTCAGGGACGGATCGAGGATGTATGAACCAGGAACTCAGGTGCGGTCCTCCGGACCGTAGCCCTCCCAGTCGACGAGGTACTGCCATCCGCGACCTCGCCGACGGGAGTCCACGATCCGGCGAACAGTGTAGGCCGGATGGCCGTCGATGTCCAGGGCGGGTGGAGGGGAGTCGGATGGTGGGCACAAGGAGCTTGAAATGACAGGTTTTATCTGGAAACATGAAACGTGGGGTGGATACGAAGGGACGGAGGCAGGTGCAGGCGGACAGCAGAGGGATTGATGATCTGAGCAATTTTATATGGACCGATGAACCGAGGTGAAAGCTTCCTAGACATGGCTTTGAGAGGAATGTCCCGTGTGGATTGCCATACCTCCTGGCCCAGGGTATAGTCAGGTGCAGGGCGCCGTTTGGAATCAGCAAACCTTTTTGCGGTGGCAGATGAGCGGTTGAGGGTGGCGATTGTGTCCTTCCAGACACGCTGACAACGGCGGATGTGGTGGTGAACTGATCTGACCGTGATCTCTCTCTCGTCTGCAGGGAAAAGTGGTGGCTGATAACCTATGGAGACTTGGAAAGGGGACAAACCGGTAGAAGCAGATCTCAGGGAATTGTGGGCATATTCAATCCATGTCAGAAACTGACTCCAGTCAATCGGATTGTTAGAAGTTAGGCAGAGGAGAGTGGACCCGAGTTGTTGGTTCATCCTCTACGTCTGCCCATTAGTCTGAGGATGATAACCAGAGGTGAGAGAGGACTTGCAATTCAGAGCTGAACAGAAGGCTTTCCAGACCTGTGAGATGAACTGTGGGCCACGGTCGGAGAGGATCTCTTGGGTTATCCCATGGAGACGGAAAACATGCTTCACGAGAAGTTGGGCAGTTTGGAACGCAGTGGGTAATTTCCTGAGAGGAATTAAATGACAGGCCTTGGAAAAACGGTCGACAATGGTTAGGATGGTGGACATACCTCTGGAAATCGGAAGACCGGTGACAAAATCAACTGCGATGTGGGACCAAGGACAAGTCTGAAGCTCATCCAGAGCTTCAGACTTGAGACAGGTTTCCTGTGAGCAAAGATAGAGGCAGATTAGAATCAGGTTTCTCTCTTGAGATAACAAAGATTCTTTCAGGTAAAAGAGGCTCAGGTTCGCTAACCAAACTAGGTCAACACTGCGGCGTCGAAGGAAGGTCTGGTTGCTGCTTATGAAGGCAGGTCTCCTGATGGGTGATTAACGTCAGGTGTGCTGGAGGGCTCCAGCCCAGGAGACCCACAGCGCACTCTGCTGGAGAAAGGTGGTACATCTCCAGATCCCAACAAATATAAGTTAATACCATTTACCATTTGTCCTCAGTAATATAAAAACTCACTGGCTCATAAGTTTTTAATTGTGGTGCTTTAAAAAAAAAAAATCAAACACTTATCCCAGGTTTATCTATTAATCTAATCTGCATGTTGTTGCAGGCTGTGATTTTTTTTTTCTATTAAACTAAGATCTGTGTCTCAGGTCTAGTCTGAGGAGCAGCAGAGGATGAAGATAATCTTCTCTCACAGAGGCTCTCAGTGGTTCCCTCTGCTGTCTGAGGGGCTCCTTCATCTCCTTCTTGGCCTCTGCCTTTATGGTACGTAACGTACATATAGGTTTTAGAATTAGTGGATTCTATTGCAACAGGATCTTTGTTAAACATAATTAGATATCTGCTAACATTAAAATATACTAGATTTGATCTGATATAAGTATGAATAAAATATGGGTAAAGCTTTTCAAAAACATGCAAGTTCGCAACAAAGATTAATGTTTTATAATTTTAACCAAATATAAAATTTTTGCATAAAATAACAAACGTTTACCAGGATTATTCTTTCTTTATGTCGCTTCCTCATTTAAAAGTCAACCTAAAACATGTGGTTATGACATAAATGATTAGTATTTATAGTATAATACTCTGATATGTTGACACTGTCAGTGATGGTAAATGGAGACAGATCAGGTTATAAAACCTGATGGTTGTTCTTTGGACGATCTTAGAGCAGAAATGAACTCTGACCAAAGGTGATGAACTCAACCTGAAGGCAGTCTGTGTAATGTGACGGCCTAGAAACTCTAACCTAGATCTTATATCTTCATCTGTCTTCAAGCATTTTATGTACATTATAGATATTCTACAAGCTGAGTGATCAGATGTTTTCTGTCTGAATAATTATAACTATTGTTACTAATTAAAGTTTGCAGATAACAACTAATATTCTTAAAATTAGTTTGTATTCCAGTTATTATATCTTCATGTTTATTAAAATAAATAATAATTCTCTATAATATTTACACACTGTTGTTTATAATGTGTTTCAGATGTAGAGGCTTCAGGAGGAAAACAAGTCATTGATAGAAAAGTTGGAGACTCAGTGGAGCTTTCATCCAATTTACCAACTGAAGGAGTCAGCAGTGCAAGATGGAGATATGGAGACTCAGTAGTTGCAGTTCAAGGTTCAGGTGTTGCTGCAAACAATCCATTTCAGGGCAGAGTGGAGTTCAATGATGTGAGCTTTAGTTTAACAGTGAGAGAACTGACCCTTCAAGATTCTGGAGATTTCAGTTTCCTCTCAGAGGCCAATGGCCAACAAAGACCTACAGTCATCATCACTCTGCAGGTTCATGGTAAGAAGATGGTTTGATCACAACCTTTCAAAGAAATATATAAAAACTTTATGTTTTTAACCTATTTATGCAGTTTATTCATAAACTGACCATATTTAACAAAACATCAAAAGTAATTTTTATTACTGTCCAATCCTAAAGCTGATTATTTTCATACAGCAGCTGTTTAATGTGAGAAAAACAAGCTAAAAACAATGTTTTCAGTTATTAACCTTTGGATCACTTTGAATTGTATTTAAATTACCTTAAATGAAACATGGTAGCAGTTTCAGTAGAGTGAATTATTTTCATTCACCAAAATAGCAACAAACTGTAACCCTAACATCATTTATCGTTTCTAGTGATTTTATACTGATGTTTTCATTCTGGTTGCTTCATTTATTATGAGGTTTAAATTTGCTCCCTGAAAACCAGGATGACTGAGTTTGAGTAGAAAAACTGTAATAAAGTTGATCAGTTCATAGTCTGAGCTTTACTTGGTTGATTGTGTCATTTCCTTTATACAGACTAATGCTGTAGTTGAGCCGTCACTCTCCTTCTCCCTCTGTTCTCACATCAGAGCCAATATCTACGAAGCCCAAACTGCTTTATAACATCAGTGAGCCTGACTTAAATGGATCCTGCACAGTTTATCTGGAATGCAGAGCAGCTCCTCACAGAAACACCAACTACATCCTGACTGTAGGAAACCAAACACGTGAAGGCCCCAAGCTGCATTACCACATCACACCACAAGATGGAGACACAACAGTCACCTGCAATGCCTCTAATGCTGTCAGTGAGATGTCAGCATCAGAAACATTGAGGTGTAGAAACACTGACAGCCTCTCTAACAAAGGTATGTTCAGAAACATGAATCCTTGTGGTTCAATGAACACATTATGTTTGACCTGCTGGTGAATCAAGAGCCTGTTGGTAAATAAATATACATCAGTTTGATCAAGTATAGAATATGAAGTTCGGGACAGAATTAAAAATAATTAAGTCAACAACCAATGAGGATCTAAGAAGAAGGGATATAATGACAATGATTTAGATCTTAAATGTTGGATATAATGGAGGCTGCAGTAAAAGTTGGACTGAATGTAAACATGTGACTCCAGATGAAGGTCTGGCCCACTGTCGCCTAATGCTTTTAACCAGAGCTGTCAAATAACGAAGTACAAATACTTTGTTACTGTACTTAAGTACAGTTGTTAGGTATCTATACTTTACTCTATTGCTTATTTTTCTTCCTACTTCTGACTTCTATTCATTACATTTTCACACAAGTATCTGTATTTTCTATTCCTTACATTTTTAAAACAAAAGTTCCTCGTTACTCTTGGCTTCGGTTTAATGTTTATGAATATTTATTTCACATCATGTGCTCCATCCAATGCAGATCATTGGCTCCATCCACATCTAGTGAAAACTAGTGTAATTGGATGAATCATATAACGCAAACATTCATTGGTTAGCTAAAAGAAATCATCAGAAGCAAGCAGGTGTTCTTCAATCTGTAAATGTGAATTGTCTATGCCATGCTACAATGTAGGATTCAGAAAAAGATGTTGAAATGTCTGAAAGGTCGGACACAGGCGAGAGCTTATCGGGAGATGGAGAGTAACAAAGTAACAAATGTATGTACTTCTGACACCACTGGTTTTAACTCTCCCTCTACATTGTTGCAGATCCTGGCTCTTCTACCATCATCATGTGGTTTAGACTATTTTTTGGAGTTCTTGTTATTCTATTCTTGGTCTGGCTGCTTCACTTCACAAATTCAAAGGGTGAGATAAACTATTTGAAATTTGATCATTGGTTAAAATGAAGAAATAAGTTATTTGCTTTAAACATGTTTGCTATTTTCTTTCCACAGAAGTATGTTTTAAGTAAGTTTTACAATTTCAGTTGAAAATATATATGCTTTCTTAAAATAACATTTTTGTTGATAATAAGCATCTTTATTCACTCCAGGCTCAAACATCCTGCAGCAGTCGACCAGGATGAGAGTCAGCAGCATCCCCACTCCTCACCTGCTGCTGGTCAGGTTTCTATCTTGCTTATTTTTAGTCTTTGTGATCAAGAACATGAAGAAAAGCTATAAACACTCATGAATGAGATGAGTAACAGTTTACTTCTTCAATATGACAGGTGATGCTTCAGAGTATGAACCCATGAGAGGCTCTACAGATGCTGAACAAGGTGCAGTTTGAGCTGCTGAAAGATTTAAAACACTCTAAGATGAGATTAAAGATGCTGTATGTTTATTTTAGGGGAACCTTCAGCAGAATACGTCCTTCCTCAACAAGCTTCTATGAAGGATCAGGACAACGTCTATGAGAACTAATAGACAAGAAGGTCATCTTCGTGCAACTGATTCTGAGAAGTGATTAAAGGAAAATATATTGTGAGCTTCTCCTGCATTTAGCTTTTAGCTTCATGACGATTTTTTTCTATTCTATTTACTGTTTAATCAAATCAGGAGCAAATTCAGGAGTTTATACCTACTGGCATATTTAATCTCTTTATTAGGAAAACTTTTATGTTATATTACAGTATTTTTTACATATTACTGTAAGCAATGCATGTTGGCAGATTATATTTTGTGAGAGAAGGGAGATTAACTGTGGAAAAATCTGAGGGGAAGAGTAATTCATCAAATTAAGAAAAGGTAATGATTCCTAGCTTTATTAAAAACTTTACAATTAACAGCCGTTATGCTAACAAATGCAATAAGCTAAGGTTACTTTTGCAGATTAATATTTTGTTGTTTTACAAACCTGAAAATCTTGCAATTTTTTAAAGTTACATCTGAATGGGCTCCTCAGCTGTATCTGCCCTTTGCTCTGAATCTACAGTCTATGGAAACCTTCTGTATGGCTTCTTTTGCTTTTAGTAAACTTTGTTTAAACCCAAAAAGTATTTGAATTCTTTTCGTTAGTTCCTATTTCCCATGTGAAAAAAATGGGTCACAATCAACTTTACTGTACTGCTGAACAACTACATGCTCTCCTGTCAGTCTAGATTATTCACCTGTTTTTTTATTAATCAGAAACTGGTTCTTTTATACAGCGATAATTCAGGAAAATAATTTGATTTCTAATATTAAAGTTTCAAAAACTGGTTGATTTGTTATACAAGTCAATCATTCTCAGAGCATGTTATTTCTATAATCAACCCTTATAATGTTTGTGTCTTAGGCCAGTTCAGGTCCAGTGGGTTGAAACCTTTTAAGGGTGTTTGAAAAATGGGCTGCAAACTCCATGCCATGTTGGGGAGTTTTGAGCTCCTTTGGAACAGATCGCAATTTAAAGGTATTATGGAGGATTTTCTCTAATATTTTAAAAGACATGCCCTTTCCACTTTAAGAAAAAATGAGTGTGCAAGGGCATGCACAAGTCCATTTTCAAAGAACCGTGGTGAGAAAGGTGAGCTTCAATGACTGTCTGATACCGTAACTTACCACAGATATTTGCCTGAAAGTGCGCATGCACAGAAAAAAGGTAGCTAACAGGACAAGCACATAGGATGGCCTTACGTGAACATATCACCAGAATGATTGACAATTAGGCGGACCAATTATTCAAATGATCCACCTGGAAATAAAAGATTATCCCCTTTACCTTTAAGGATCTTTTGTACTTGTGAAGGACTGAAAGTTTAAAACCTTTAAATTAATTGTCGTTGCTCATTGTTTATTAATGTTTGTCTTCCTCAGACTGGTAATATAGTTTTTGTTTTGAATATTAGTGTAATTTTAATTTAAAACCTTGTATTTGGTGTTGGTCTTCATTCACCTTCCAGGCTCCATTACCAACCAATCTTCTGATGCTACTAACCATTGATAACAGTGTGAAGCAATAGCATTACAAAACACTTCTGCTGCCTTGACTGCCTGCCACCTTTTTGAAACGTCAGGATCTGAGAAAGCATGGATCAAGACGGCTAGGACTGATTTGAAGCACTTTACAGAGAATTTTATGTTTCTTGTTGTTGGCATTCATGTAAAAACACTGGTGTGGTACTCTAGTATACCTTTGATTGGTTTTTGGTATTCGCCTATTTTGAAGTTATAGCCCCCCCTAGAGATAAATCTACCAGCCGCCACTGCAGCTGGAACCGTGTTAAAACCCCCTACTCATTAGTATATAACTATGATGAAAACCCTGTAAAAAAAGGAAATTCCTGGCCCGACTGCCATCATCCCACTGAGAAAGGTGAGCGCAGTGTTACCAACTCAGCGACTTTTTCGCCATATCTTGCTACTTTTCAGGCTTTTTTATTTTTAACAACCAGCTGTTCTGTTGAAGGCTTTTGTGACAACTAGGGGTGTAAATAATAATCGTTTTGTATCGATGCATCGATCCAACAGCCGACGATCCGATGCATCGACACGTCTGCAAGATAATCGATTCATGTTTTTTTTTTTCCTCCGGTCTATTTTTATCCATTTGCTCCTGGGCGTAATTCTCCCTCCCGTGCTGCGGTGGCGCTAAACCTATTTTGCCCTCCTACCTCGCTTCCTGGTTATACTCTTACAGCAGTGTGTTGCAGTGAGCTTGACACAGACATTTTTAAATTATGCTCAGTATTGAAGCGTGGTCTGTGCTACACACTGTGGGTCTAGATACGGCCGAGGCGGTGAGGAAGTGGGGACGAGTTTAGTCAGACGACGGAGGGACATGAAGGCCAAAAAGAGCGGAGATCCAGGTGGAAAAAGGGTCCCAGTGTTCTCATGCACCTCGCTCTTCTAGCGGGTCAAACTTCATGAGTTGTTTTCCGCAATTTTGGTCATAAAAACAAAACAAGCCGGCCTCCTGTCTGCGGCACTGTTTGCGGTCAGGTAGAATTTGGGAGAGGAGCAGCGGAGCGTGTCTCAAGGGGGCGGGGACGTTTGGAGCCGATTTTGTGCAGCCACTGATTTTGTGCAGTATTTTTTACGACGGAGTATTAGGGCCACACATGAAGAGAAAAAATATTTTTGCCATGACGAGATTAAACTCGACATGTCGACTTTAAACTCAACATTTCGAGAATAAAATTGAAATGTCATGTTGAGTTTAATCTCGACGTGTCGACAATAAAGTTGAAATTAGTTCAAGAGAGCCAACCGCTGCACAGGATACATGCACAGAATCCAGAATCAGACATGCCTTGTGTAGATGATTTGGTCAAATTGTACTTTCTGTGATGATTATACAGTTATACAGTTGCAGCACGTCAAAGACTACCTTCACTCTTAAAAAGCAGACTGCAGCTGTGGAGCGCGGTTGCTCTTTTCTCCAAACTTTGGAATGTCGAGATTAAAGTCGCCACGATATATCAACTTTATTCTCGAAATGGCGAGTTTAAAGTCGACAGGGCGAGTTTAAAGTCGACACGTCGAGATTAAACTCAACAAGACATTTCAACTTTATTCTTGAAATGGCGAGTTTAAACTCGACATGTCGACTTTAAAGTCGACATGTCGAGTTTAATCTCGTCATGGCAAAAATATTTTTTCTCTTCATGTGTGGCCCTAATACTCCGTCGTAATTTTTTGATGCAACTTTTCTACTTCTGTTATTTGCTGTTGTTTCTAAAAAAAAAAAAAAAATGCATAACGATATTACAGCTTTCATTGATTTATTTCAAACTTGAAACTTTGTTTAGCCTGTAAGGTCTAAAAAAAAAAAAAAAAAAAAATTAATCGAATCGTGGTTTATTCTTCAGTATCGAAAATAATCTAATCGTTGGGTCAGGAAATCGATACTGAATCGAATCGCCATGATGGGTGTGATTTACACCCCTTGTGACAACACATGCACCAATAGCTCAGAGTTAGTTTTGTGTGAGTAGTGAGTGAGCAGACCACTCCCTTTTCAAAACACTGCAGCAGCAGATCTGATGCAATGCTTATGTCATATTTTTGAATATGTACATTTAAATAAACAGCAACCGTTACACAGTTACAAAAATTACAAAAAAGATGCCATAAAAAAACAGACACTCCTGTAAAAGTTTTTTTATTTCCATTACAAATGTTGGTTTTCTGCTTATATTCTTTTAACAAAAACATTTAGCCCTTAAACAAATGCTAATGTTTAAAAATAAAGTATTCAGTCAAAAGATGTTCGTTGATGCCATAAAATTATACATCCAAAGGATAAATTTTACCTAAACAAGCCTGGCAAAGGAACCCCAGCCCAACTGAAGAAATCTGAGATTTTAATAAAAAAAATAATAAACAGGAAAACATTCATCGTAAATTTTGAAATGAACGCTGAAACCCAGTGAACACTTGCTTTTTATCATGATGCACAAATATTGTGCAGTTCGACTTTGTATTCATAGCTAAGTAGATTTCCTAACTGTGTGGATTCTCATGTGTGTGTTTAAAGCTGATTTATGGCTAAAGCTCTGTCCACATATACCACAACAAAAAGGTTTCTGTCCTGTGTGGATTCTCATGTGTGTGTTTAAAGTTGACTTCTGGGTAAAATTGTGTCCACATAGATTACAACAAAACCTTTTCTGTCCTGTGTGGATTACCTTGTGTGTATTTAAAGCAGAAACATGTCGAAAACTTTTTCCACATTGATCACAACTGAAAGGTTTTTGTCCTGTGTGGATTCTCACGTGTGTTTTTAAAGCTGACTTGTGCCCAAATCTCTGTCCACATAGATCACAACAGAAAGGTTTCTGCCCTGTGTGTGTTCCCATGTGTTTGTTTAAATTTGATTTAAGGGTAAAAGTGTTTCCACATATATCGCAACAGAAAGGTTTCTGACCTGTGTGGATTCTCATGTGTGTTTTTAAAGTTGATTTCTGACTAAAACTTTGTCCACATACATCGCAACAAAAAGGTTTCTCTCCTGTGTGGATTCTCATGTGTTTGTTTAAACCTGATTTATAGATAAACCTCTGTGCACATATGTCACAACAGAAAGGTTTCTGTCCTGTGTGGTTTTTCATGTGTGTGATTAAATTTGATTTCCGATTAAAACTTTGTCCACATAGTTCACAACAGAACGGTTTCTGTCCTGTGTGGATTTTAATGTGTCTGTTTAAATCTGACTTATAGCTAAATTTGTGGCCACATAGATCACAAGAGAAAGGTTTCTGTCCCGTGTGAATTCTCATGTGTGTGTTTAAAGTTGATTCAAGCGTAAAAGTGCTTCCACATACTTCACAACAGAAAGGTTTCTGTCCTGTGTGGACGCTCATGTGTCTCTTTAAAGTAGATTTCTGGCTAAACCTTTGCCCACATAGATCACAACAGAAAGGTTTCTGTCCTGTGTGGATTCTCATGTGTTTGTCTAAAGCTGATTTATAGATAAATTTATGTCCACATGTATCACAAAGGAAATGTTTCTGTCCTATATGGTTTCTCATGTGTTGCTTTAAAAGGGTTTTTCTAGCAAATAATTCTCCACAGATTTCACAGCTACACTTTAAACCCTTTTGTGCATCCCCAGGTGAGTCTAAATTTGCTTTTTGTTTAAAATGCTTGTTATTATCTTGGGAGTGAGAAAGACAGCAACTCTGAAATAATTGTTCAGCAAACTCAGACGATACAGAAGGTTTATCAGCCATCTTTCTATCTGTCTCAGGAACTGTAACCGTCTTCCAGTCAATGTCCAGGTCCGTCTTTATCAGAACAGAGGCTGATAAATGTTGAGGCTCCGCAATGGAGAGCTTTGTATCATTTTCCTCCCCAGTCTTTAAGGAAATGGAGCCATCTTTATGATCTTGTATCCTCATGGATTCTTCCCTTCCATCATTCTCTACTGGAAGCTCGTCTTTAATGTGTTCTTCATAAAGCTGTGAGAGAACAGAGGATTGTTTATCATCCTCACTCTTTATGGGAGCAGCAGTGATTGGAAACTCCATGGCATCAATCTCCTCTTTTGGATGGAGCTGCTTTCCCTTCAGACTGGTGCAGACCTCCTCCTGTTCCTCCTTTATGTGGTGGGGCTCTGGGTCATGCAGGACAGCACAGGGTGTGTGGTCTTCTTTAACCATCACCAACCAGCTTAACATCTGCAGGAAACAAACACATATTAGAAAGTATTCAGGCATCATTCTGGACTGCATCACTTTTAAAAACATTTAGGCGCTTCGTTTATTTATAATTCTATGATTTAATTACTTTTATTACTGATTTTAATGTCAGTTGATCTAAGCTCATTCATAACAACTGAAATCTGAAATGTTGAAATCATTTCATTCTTCCTGTTTAGCGTCTTTTACTCGCCATCTTTCTTATATACGACTGTTTTCAATAAGTTGCAAAAAAAGAAATGTGGAAATAAGAAAAACATTTTTTAAACAGCTGGGGTTGTTTACTGTAAATAAACAAGTCATTTCTCAATTCAGTTTATTTATATAGCACCAATTCCCAACACATTTCATCTCAAGGCACTTTACAGAGACAATTAACCCAAATCAGGCAGTCAGACTGGTTCAAAGTTTCTATCCAAGGAAAAGTCGTTTTCTTTTAACAGGAAGAAACCTCCAACAGAACCAGGCTCAGTGTGAGCGGCCATCTGCCAAGGCCGACTGGGGTTCAAGGAGACAGAAGCAGACATAGAGAAGGAAGCAGAGATACAAAAGGCAACGGTAAACCAGTTACATAGACGGCCCCGTCCAGGAAAGCCAGCTCCCATGCCAGAGGATGAAATAGAGCTTGTACAGTTGTCAGTCAGACAGGACTACATTGAAAAAACAGGCAAAGCTCCAACATCTATAAACAAAGGTGTTGCACTGCAAAAATGATCTAGAAACAAGTAAACATTTCTTAAAAGAACCGATTTACCCTTAATTTGAGTAGGTAAATACGATGAGTTGCCAATGGAATGGGTAGTTTAACTCTTAGAATAAGCTAAATAGATAATATGCACTTGCAATAAGACAATACAATTGTCTTTTTTTAATAAAAAAAAAAAAGAAATTTTATTTTTAGGCAATATCACCCAGCCCTATGCTCATCTTGGGTGAATAAAGTCTGTATTTCTACAAAGCTTTATGTTAGCATTAGAGGTGAGTATTGGCATGAGTGTTGCGATTCGATACATGTCGCGATACTTGGGTCACGATACGATATCATCACGATATTGCAGTATCACTATATATTGCCATATTTTCCCCAGCTATCAAAATCAAATGATGAGATAAAACAGCAAGTGCTGGATATTTTCATCAGAAAATATTGATTAGGTATTATTATCCATGTTGTTTGGGGTTTTCTTCCACTGTGACTGCCTCAAATACAGATTTGGTGCTGCACGCACAGTTAAAGGGCTCCACAGCGCTTTCTGCCAGAGTGGGGGTGCAGAGGTAGCCCATTTCCCCATCAATGTTTTATGTAACCATTTTTTTTTTTTTTTTTTTGAAAGATCGATATTATATTGGGCAGCCGAATATCACGATATATCGCCAAAACAATTATTTCCCACACCCCTACTTAGCATGCAGGATTCCTATTAGCCAGCGGTTGGCTAGCTCCAGCGGTAAGCCAGGAAGCCTGGGTGTTCAGGCCTTAACAGTAAGCCATGCAATCAGTTCACTTCATAAGGCCACGTTTGGCTTTGTTATTAAACAAAATGTGGTCATGATTGGATTTTGCTGTTAACATTTTTGAGTTTATTTGTTTGATGAGAGAGATGGAGAGGTCGATAAAGGTGTGGTCTGGAGATGTGAGTAGATGTGTGCTTGGATATTGAAGATTTAGCAGAATATTGTCTCGGGTTGGTTGATGTTAAACTTCGACCCCTATTTCATCATTCTGCTTAATTCTATCTCTATTCTCCCACTCTGCAGAATCATTTTGTTCAATCTCTAACGTTCTGCTCTCTCTGCTTTTCTCATAGTAGCTTTGCCTGATCTGGTCCGGTTTGGCTGCGACACCATCCTGAAGAGAAATATCAGCTGTGCTGCTGCCATCAACACCTTTGTTTATGGATGCTGGAGATCGGCCTGTTTTTTAGTGTAGTCCTGTTTCTCTGACTGTGACTGGCTGGATGGGCTCCTTTCATCCTCTGGCATGGGAGCTGGCTCAGAGATCGTCTGCCTGGCTGTGTGTTTCCTGGACGGGGCCGCCTTTTACAGCTGCTTTTTGTATCTCTGCTTCTGTTTCCTTGAACCCCAGTCGGCCTCGGCAGATGGCCGCTCACACTGAGCCTGGTTCTGCTGGAGGTTTCTTCCTGTTAAAAGGGAGATTTTCCTCTCCACTACAAGCGTGCTTAGTGTGAAGGATTGCATTGAAGTCAATTAGTCGATGCAATTGACTGGTTTTCCTTGGATAGAAAACTTTGAATCAACTTGACTGTATGATCTGGTGAAATGTAAAGTGGCATGAAATGAAATTTGTTGTGAATTTGCATTATAAATTGACTTGAATGGATTTCCATTAAATGTTTCTGGCAACTTGTCAAGTGAGAAAATATGAAAATATAGATATAAAAAAAAAAGCTGCCTCACAGCTGCTGTTTGGTTTCAAAGGTCTTTAAAGGGCTGCCTCCGGTAATTAGGTGAGCGGTTAGTTACAAAGTTTGTAGTTAAAATTACTGATGTAGATGATCTTTTCCAAGCTATAGTGCTTGACTGGACTACACTTCTAAAACATCAGATAAAAAAAAAGATTAAAAAAAAGAAGCTTTTCAGCAGGAATCAATGCCAGCATTACTCTCCTCATTCTTTCTGCTAAATCATTGTTATTAAAGACAGAAAACATTTCCTATATTTCTTTTCTGTCTTTCCGTAATCTGAGGAGTTTCTTCCTGGTCGATTCCATCTTTTTCTTTGATGGTTAGGAGCAGCTCCACCATGCCATCTCATCTCTGCTGTCATGCCTGTAGGTTGTCCTTTAATGTCTCAATTGATGTCTGAATTGATGTCAAGTCAAGCAGAAAGGGATGAACTTGTTGCTGTTAGAACTGTTTTTTTTTTGGCCGTAGATGGATCCTTTGCTACAAATGTCCAAGTCTGTGCATGTGAATGGAGTGTCACGCAATTTCCGCTCAGGAGGATGTTCGCTCATTAAATGCTCAAAGTTGCGCCAGGACGCTCCACTCAAAATCCGCTCCGCGCTCACCTTAATTTTCCTATAGCTCCTGCAAAATCGCTCCACGCTTGCTCAAATTTTCAGAAGAAGGCATTTTCTGACATTTTTCCTTCATATAATCATGCCAGGGCCCCTGGACACACAGCTTTTCATTTAATGATGTGTCCAGTACGTGTATTGTCTTATTTAACTGGCTGTTACATTATCGTACTGTTTCTCAGCTGTGAACGTAACACCTCGCTCCATTTATGTTGGCCCGCGTTTCTTATTTAATTATTTTACTAGATTTAAATCAAATAAATTTTATTTTACATATTTTATAATCCAAACATTTTTAATTGATGTTGTGAGCGTATTGGAGTAAACTGGAGCGAAGCAAAATCCTGGCTACAGCCTTTAAATTGAAAACCGCTCACATGCTCTGGTCCAGGTGTAAACTAACAATATGCTGCCTTACTGCATTTTAAGAAATAACATTTTTTTCACTATGTATCTTTTATGTATTTCTGTTACTCATAAAATAAGCTTAACAGGTTCATTGAAACTGCAGAATGTGACCATTCCATCTTATTACTTATATATAATAATCATCAAAATAATCGTAAGAATACTCGACTACTCTGATGATTGACTGCTTAATGAAATGTTACAGGATTTATAGCAATTATCAGCAATGTAGAGAACTATTTGGGTCATGTTTAGTTTAAATGTTCTTACCTTGGTATAGTAGGGCAGAAGCAGTCTCCTTTCTCTGGATCTTTAATGGAAACTAAAGGGTTTTCAACGGTCGCTAAGGAAAAAGAAAATTCAGTTTTATTAAGATATTTGGATAATTTATGCTGCATTTCCGTACAACAGCTACATTAGCTCTGAATCAGAATTGATAAATACTTTTAGGCACACCTAGATATGACTTTTTTAATTTCTGAAACACACAATGAAGCTTTGAGAATTAGCCGTTAGCGACACAGACGCGATGCAATATTAGCACGAAAACCGGATTTTATTTCTTATTTTATAATGAAGAATCAAGCCTAAAACAAGGAACACAAATCGACAACAAAAAGAAACAACTGACCCTTGTAAAATTAACCAATGAGTTACATGAACTTAACAGAAGCAAGTGTTTCTATCAGCATGAAAATATCAGAGATTTTAATCCTTTGGCGATAATCTAATATGTAATCTGATTGTTGTGATATTATGGCATGTGTGAAATGGTTCATTTTGTTTTGCCTGAGCTGATCCTTATTGTGATAAAGTCTTGTTTTGCTCTGTGGAGGCGTTCATAGTGCCGCAACATTCCCTGTGCCTTGGTAAAAAACAATAGTGTTGGGATCAGTTTTGTTTTACGAAAGATGAAAAGAGCTAAATAAATCAGGCCTTTAGTAACAAACAGAACTAAATAATCCAGACTAGAGCAGGGGGGGGAGCTGTGGCATGAGTGAGAGAGGAGGGGAGAAAACTGAGCAGGATGATTAAAAAAAAAAAAAAAAAAAAAGAACGTATAAAGTGCTGTCTATAGCGTCAGTAGGGTTTCTCTAGGTATCTCTTATTGTAGGAATTTGTGAACACATACTCTCAGGTTTAGGTGTGTTTGTCTCCTTAAACATAAAAAGTTAGAAGTTTGCCCAGAGATCTGTATAGAGCTTTCTTGGTAGCCTTTATGAGGATTTCATATTGTTTGTGAGAGTGGAATGATGTTTTATCGTCGGGAAAATGAGTAATATATCTTAATATAAATTTTGGTCATATCACCCAGCCTTATGTAACACAGAACAAAATTTAATTGAAAATGGAGAAAACTGAATGGGCAGAAAAAATAGGATCCAAACAGCATCTGCATTTATCAAAATGAGACCTGGAGAGCATATAAGTAACTTTTCAGAATATTTATAGATTTAAATGTATTTAGACGCTTAGAGAAATCGATTTTGCAAAGTTGATAGGTTTCCATACTGTATAGAAACTAAAAGAAATAGAACTTTTTTTGTTTCGGGCTGTGAAAGATGTTCTCACCTCAGTCTCCAACAAAGCCGTCGACCAGCCCGCTGCCGTATGCATCATCTCCCCAAACGGTCACAGTGATGATCAAGTCTGGGGAGTCTCTAATGATGAAGCCAGAAGTTGATCAGCCAATCTAATGATCTGAAATCAGGGGAGACAGAGATGTTTTATTTCACAATAGACTCATTACACTGATGTTCCACACAATGAGGAACCTGACTGTGAAAAGATTTTTATGTGGAAGCAATTTGTACTGGTGGTACGATGACAGACAGGACTAGAAAGTTCCCGATCAGATGTATCCAGTATTCGAGTTGAGGGGGGATGGCATCCCTGATCTTAAATTAAAAAAAAAAAATCTTAAAAATCATCATCCTTAAATTACCATCTGCCCATACTGTCCCCTGGGAGATTTTATTACTGAATGTTTAAAATTTCTACTATAAATTAACAGTAATGGCAATAATATTGCCCTTTTAACAATTGGCAGGCTGTGGGCTTACGAGCAAAATACATAAAATCAAAGAAGTGTCCTAGCAGGAAGCTGATCTCAGTGGGAAATTAGTCCCTAACTATGTAGGGGCAGTGATAGCCATGCTAACTATGTAGAGGCAGTGAAAGCTATGCTAACTATGTAGGGGTAGTGATAGCTATGCTAACTATGTAGGGGCAGTGATAGCTATGCTAACTATGTAGGGGCAGTGATAGCCATGCTAACTATGTAGGGGCAGTGAAAGCTATGCTAACTATGTAGGGGTAGTGATAGCTATGCTAACTATATAGGGGCAGTGACAGCTATGCCAGTCCAGGGACTGACTGCCTACAGTGAGTTCCCTCCACTGAGGGAGGGGCAAGTTAAGATTTTCTCCCTAAGAAATGGGACACCACTAGTTGTAAAATTACACCCCAGCCCAGTAGATGGCACTTCAGTGATGTGTTCACTTACTTCATGCATAAACACAACCCGAGTCTACTTCTGCATAGAAACTCTGTCATACTCATAACTTTTCACCAAACACATTCATAATATTAAACAACAAATATATTACAAAAAGTTAAAAGTCCATTTATGAGTCAGCATGGATAAATAAAGGTATCACAACTATCTGTAAATTAATAGACAATCATGGTAATATAATTAACTATGACAACTTTTTGTTGAAATATCAGTTTCCAATAAGATACAAGGAATAAATATCAGTCAGTGTATCTAACAATTATTAAAATCATCACAATTTACTCCAACTTTGGCCACCACAATGTTTCTCAACAGACTGTATTCTCTTGGCACCAAATATAATGACAAACCAAGATGACATAACTAAGAGCAAACCAAGAGGCAAATTCTACTGGAACCCCATTTTTTTATAGAATAGACTGGAGCAAATTATGGTCACTACCTCTTCAATACCCCATTCACAATAAAATCCATCAAATTCATTTCAAAATTCTTTATAACATCTATCCTACAGATAATGATATAGCTGAATACCTTAAAATAAATCCAAACGGATCCTTCAGCAGTATTGAAGCTGAAATACCCCTCATCCTTGCTGAACCATCTTCAGTCCATCAGCTCCAGGTCTAAGTAATGTCATAATTGTCTCTTTTCTGTTTCTTTCTGTTCTCATAATTTCTCCAACTTTCCTTTGTTCTTTATAAACCACATTCCTCTCTTTCTTCCTCCAACAGCTTTTGTCATTTCTCGTTAATGTTTTGTTTTATTCTGCTCTTTACTTCCTGAACACTAAAGTTAATGCCAGCTAATAGCCGTTAGTTCTCCTTCATCCTCAGACGCCATAACAGTTCAGGTACAAACCGCCCCGTCAGAAGCCAGAACTCATTCACATCCAGCTGCCTTCCTGCTCAACGTTTGCTTCCGCTGAAACACGCAGCCTATCAGCTAAATAAACAAATCACTGTTTTTACCTGCAGACGTCGATTATCTCTCATTACTTTCCTGTCCCTCCTAGAATCATACATATCAGCGCATCGCTGCTGCAGCTTCTTCTTCTTTAGTTTTAACGCCATCTTGCCTCCATTATTGTAGCACTACTGCCATCTATTGGATCCTAATATATATCCCTCAAATTCTCATAATGATCCCAGTATTTTTTTAAACGAAAAATCTTCTTCCCCTCAGTATTACTTCACTTTTCAACCACATTCTCAAATTTCATTTTCAAATTTCCATTTTCTGTGTGGCTTCCACAGAACCACACAGAACATGGAGGATTTTATTTAGTTGTTGGGTTTTAACAACATTTTATGTGCTCTGTCAGGTGGAGAACTACAGTTTAACAAGCTCCTCATTTAATGACTTTTAGCTGACACTTGTTTTACGTGAAATGTATGTTTTGAATTGTGTAAAAGTGTTGTTAAAAGTCTTCTTCGTTTGTTTAATGATGGTTGACAAGCAGCGTTCAGGTGCATTAGCGCCACCTTCTGAATAGGAGCGTCGATCAGAATTTTAAAATATCCCTACATTCTATAATATAAACCTGTTTTCCCAAAAAAAAGAAAAACATACACTCACATAAAACAAGCCCTAATTCTAATTGCAGTGAAGTGAAAACATTAAACTGTATATTATCTTGATTGAATTTATTCAATAGAGAGTATATCTCTATATTTTTTATATTGTTTAGAGGGAATCAGCACATATTCTATATCTTCCAGCTCATTGATCACAGTTCTCTGTTTTTAATATTCTTTTTTGTTTCTGCATTTTTTATTTTATTTTTTTCCTACTTGCTTTGATTCTGTTTTATCTTCCTGTATTTTAATCATGTAAAGCACTTTGCATTGTCTTTGTACTGAATTGTGCTATACAAATAAATTTGCCTTGCCTTGCCTTTTTACATGTTTCCCTATTATATGGAGTATGTTATTAATCCCTCTGTGTCCGAGTCTCAACCTTGTTATAATACCCTATTCCATTCTATTTCTACTTGTCTTCCTTAATTGATTGTGTCACAGTTGGAGTGGAGGTTTTCTGAAGGAGTTTACTTGAAGTTAATTAACCAAAATGTTCAATAGATGCAAACATCGAAAAACATAAATCCACAAAAATCCAAAAACCCTAAAAACCAGGAATACTCACAAGAAGGTGGGCAAAGAAATGACGACAAACCAGCAACGAGTGACTGAACAGGAGGAGAATATAAATTGGAGAAAGAAAACAAAAAAAAACAAAGAGAGTCGTGAGAGAGACAGAAGGAAGCGAGGTGGAGTATGGCGTGTATTTGTAAGTGGCTTGTGTGTCCTGGGTCATGAGCAGCGAGGAAACAGGAAGCGATTCTTGTGGGATGGGAGAAGGAATTAGTGAAAACGAAGAAGATTGGAAGAGAGTAGAGTCAAAAACTGAGAAAAAGCTGAAAAAGCAGAGATCAATTGAAGGGGAGTCCAGTTCAGAACAGTCAAGTGATGAACAAACTATACATTCCATCCATCCATCCATCCATCCATCCATCCATCTTCCTCCGCTTATCCGGGGTCGGGTCGCCGGGGCAGCAGCTTAAGAAGGGAGGCCCAGACTTCCCTCTCCCCAGCCACTTCTTCCAGCTCTTCAGGAGGAACCCCAAGGCGTTCCCAGGCCAGCCGAGAAACATAGTCTCTCCAGCGTGTCCTGGGTCTTCCCCGGGGCCTCCCCCCGGTGGGACGTGCCCGGAACACCTCACCAGGGAGGCGTCCAGGAAGCATCCTAAACAGATGCCCAAGCCACCTCAACTGGCTCCTCTCGACGTGGAGGAGCAGCGGCTCTACTCCGAGTCCCTCCCGGATGACGGAGCTTCTCACCCTATACATTCCATGGGAAAACTAAATGAGTACAAAGTCATATTGAAACTACTTAATCAGACAGACTCTTTTACAGATTGGAATCTGGTTCATTTAACAAAATCGATCAATAAACTAGTAGGAGAAGCCTGTATAGAAGAATACTGTATATTAGAGACCTGTTAATCAACTGCAGAGACAGCCTCAGCACGGCAAAGCAATAATTAACAAGATTGAGGGGATAAGAGTTCAGTGCAGCTTAGTGGAGAACAAAAAGATTAGCAGGGGAGTCACTGGAGGAGTTCCTCTAAAAATTTCTGAAAAAGAGATTCTAGAAAACATAAGTGGTGGAAAAGTAAAAGAAGTGAAACCGTTAAAAACAACAAGAAATGGAGAAAGGTGTGACAGCCTATCTGTGTTAATTAAATTTGAAGAAGAGCATTTACCCAGCAAGGTTTTCATTGGTTACATGAGCTGCAATGTTAAAATATACATTCCTCCACCTTTGAGATGCTTCAAATGCCAAAAATGTGGACATATAGCAGCAGTATGCAAAGGAAAACATCGATGTGGAAGGTGTGCTGGAGAGCAGGAATATGGAAAATGTGGGAAAGAAGCTAAGATCAAATGCTCTAGCTATGGTTGAGAGCATACTGCTGCATAACACAGGTGTGAAGTGAGCAAAAGCTCTGAAGAAATTAGAAAAGTGAAATTTAAGCTCTGAATAACTTATGCTGATGCTGCAAAAAGGATCCCATCCCAGTCAGAAAAACCCAAACCCTACAGTTCAGCACATGGCAAATTCAAAACCTCTGGAGCAGCGTCCAAAAATTGAAGATTAATTGATTGTAAAAAAGGAAAGATTTTGTTCTCTTCGTTGTAGAAGTGATCAATTGTAGTTCACAGACCATAAAAAAACCCCGAAAAAATCAAAATAATTTTAAAAGCTGCAGAAAAGTATCTTGAAGTTAAAGATTTAAACTGGGAAATGGTGGAAAGCATGATGGGAAAACCAATAAGACCAACTAGCAGAGTGACGATAAATTAGAAATTATGAGGGCAAATGTGATTAAGTATTTATTATGTGGGGTAAAGGTAAATACTTCGGAAAAATACTATTATTTATTTATTTATTTATTTATTTATTTATTTATTTATTTATTTATTTATTTATTTATTTATTTATTTATTTATTTATTTATTTATTATCATTATTTTATTCCTGTTTCCCTGTTCAACTCCTTACCAGTCGGTGGCGGTAATGCGCTTTTAACTAGTTTGCCAACCGCGATAAAACCTCACAAGAAGAAGAAGAACAAATCACAGAAGAAGAGGAGCGTGCTGATTGTTTGGATCGGATAGTGACAGGAAAGGTGATGAAAAACGTTTAAAGAAGATCATCGAGGTGTGCGGGTAAAAGCGGATGTTTATTTATCTGGATCGTTTGATTGGAGGAAAGCTACCGACACGATGGCAGCAGGATTTGGCCTCTGATGGGCGGCTGGCATCCAGCTGGTTGGACAGATTTGGCTTCTCAGGTGAGGATGATGGAGATGAAGAGGTGGACTGTGGGGGGTGGACAGCAGTAGCAGAGGGTCGAGATGAGAGAAAGGTAAAATGAGAGGATATTGGATCTTAAAGCTCCGTGGAGTCAGCGGCCCTTTCCTCTCAGTTGATCCGATTGAGGAGCTCAGGATTCGGCCTGCAGCTCTCTGTTTCTGCCTCAGTGGTTCCATTAGGGAAGCTCAACCACACAACAGAGAAATAAATTCCTTATCTTATGAGCAACTGAAACAATGTGAAATCATGCTTCTAGATCATGCATGAGACAAACTTAATTTAACTTTAAGTCTTTAATATTTTCAACCATTTCACAGACAGAGCGACCAGAGGAGGAGAGGAGCAGCTATTCACTGTTTCACCCCACTGTCCCCTGTGCATTTACACCAGCCATGCATGAAAGCAGCTGTTTTGACCATTAGAAAAAAATTATAAAAATCTTGAATTAATCCAGGAAAGACATTTCTGGAACATGCAAGGAAACAAATTTCATTTTCTACTTATTGAATCATAGAGTTTAACTTAATGATTATGGAAGAAAAGCAGACTCATTTAAACACTGAGTTCTTTTACCACACACCACATTTTAAACACTTTTTTACACATTAAATTCCTTACACTGAATTTTTATTTGGTGAAAACTAAATTGCAAAAAATTTTGATTGCAAAAGATTTGCCTACAAAAATTTCAAATGCAACTGTGTTGACCTTTTGGTGAACTGCAGGCAGTTCCCTTAGCTCATTTGGTGAGAAAAACAAAAACATTGCCCTCAGCCACTTCTTCCGGAGCAAACCAAGAGCCTTGGCAGACAGGGGTGCTGCACTGGCTGTGATCAGCTCAGTTATTTCACCCAGTTCTATGAGATTAAAAACTCTAATGGCTATCTATTAGTAGCTACCTCAAGTTTTGTATTGATATCTATTAAACAACAAAAACTCCTAATTCAGCTTCATTCAGCCAAATCTATGCCAAACCATTGTGTCATCTGACCAAATGAGCTCATTTCATTGGCTAAAAGCTGCTGGACTGCATCAAGTGTTGATTGCTTTGGCTGAATTTTTTGCAGCTGAATTTTTTGCAGGCGAAATTCAACCAGATGAAAATTCAGTGTAAGGAATTCAATGTGTTAAAAAAAAAAATCAGTGTTTAAAATTCTTTAGTGATTTGTTTCTTCAGGTTTTTCTTTTTTTTTTTACTCTGACTCCACCCTTTCACTGAACTATAGAGCCTGACCAGGAGATTATGCTTCTTTCTAGTTGTTAATGTCCACTAATCATGACAGAATATTTCAGTACAAAGATTGATGTTTAAAAGGGAATTATATGTGATCAACTTTGAATGGCTTTCCTAATAGACAAAGTCACCTCAAAAATCAGTCAAATGCCTCACTGTGTGGAGCATCGGTGTAATGAGCCTACTGCGTTATAAAAACATCTGTGTCTCCCCTGATTTCAGATCATTAGATTGGCTGATCAACTTCTGGCTTCATCATTAGAGACCCCCCAGACTTCATCATCACTGTGAATGTTTGGGGAGATGACGCAGACGTCAGCGGGCTGGTCGACAGCTTTGTTGGAGACTCAGGTGAGAACGTCTTTCACAGCCCCAAACAAAAAAGTTCTATTTTTGTAGTTTCTGAACATGAAAAACTATTGACTTTGATTTAAAGGGGAAATATAATGCAAAATCCATTTATTTTTGCTTTTTAAACACACTTGTTTTTATCCTTGGGAATCTCTTTATTCCCCAAAATGTTACATTTATTCTCTCCAGGTCTGGTTTTTATATATTTATTTGCTGTTTGGATCATATTTTTAGTTTTTTTTTCCATTTTGTATTACATTGTTTTCTCTATTATATAGGGCCAAAACCTACAATAGATTTCAAATTTTCTGTTGTCACAGACAATATGAAATCATCATAAAGGCTGCTAAGAAAGCCTCAACAGATGTCTGTTCAAACATCTAATGTTCTATATTCAAGAAGAAAAACTCACCTTAGCCTGTAAGTGCATGTTTACAAATCACTAGAGGAAGTCAGAAAAACAGCGGATAAATAGCTCTGAGTATTTAAACTGAAGGTCTCCAATCAGTTCTGAAACATCTGCCTTGATAAACCATGATAAACCATGTTGAACCATGTTTTTATCCCAGGCACAGTGAATGTTGACATTATTAACGCTTCTATAGAGCGAACTAAGCCTTTATCACTAGAAGAATCAGCTGAATAAAATCAAAATGAATCAATGTGTGAGCAACACTGTGAGCATAGGCTTTAATATGTAACGAAATACTGGAAATGTGTTTACAAGTCATATCACTGTTATTGAATTGAATAACATGCCAATATATATTGATAGTGAATGATTGTGCAGCTATTTTATTATGAAAATTTTCATTTATAAATCAAAAACAAAATTAAAAACCCTTTAAAGCAGAAGAGTCGGCCTTAAAAGTCTTTAAGAAATCTGCATTCAGGAAGGAATGAAGGAAGTCGCTGATATGCGTCCTTCCCTCCCTAAGTTATCTGCATTAAATCTCACATTTCTAATCAAACAATTAATTGGAAACTAAAGATAATATGTCTAGAAAATAAGTTGAGCAATCCTAATTTATAGCTACTGCTAAAAAATGTTGTTGCTTAGTTATAGATGTTGCATAGATTATTCAAATATCTTTTTCATATTTTTAACAAATCAATTTCTTGTTCCTTAGTGACTATTGAAAATCCTTTAGTTTCCATCAAAGACCAAGAGAAAGGAGATGACTTCTGTCCTATAACACCAAGGTAAGAACATTTAAGCTGAATATGACCAGCAGAGTTCTTTACATTGCTGATTATTGCTAGTTAATCAATGAGAGGTCCTCCACATCCACGGCTACTCCTCCGCACATCACAGTCCATGTACATCTTCTATGTCTGTCACGCAGGGGCGTCTCTAGGTTTAAGAGACAAGGGTGGCTCAGCCCCTAGAAGATAATGCGCGCGCTAGGCGCGCGCCGAATTTTTTCAGTGCACCTGCTAAGGCGTTGTCTAAGACAAGGGTGTAACTTTGTGTTGAAAGTTGGTGGGGACGGCTCATAAGGAAAGGGAGCTACCTGCGCGACGCCTTTTTTTTTTTTTTTGTTGGAAAGGATAAAGCCAAAAAAATGCGAATAACATTTATCAATTTAATGCTTACAGTTGAAAACATAACTGTTACAATATTCACTTATATATTTTGTGCAAAAAATATCACATAAATCTGAACAGACAGTACAAATCAAAGAAATCAAATAAATATATCAATTTTGTAGAACATTTATTGACAGTCAATTTTGGGTCACTTTTTAAAATTAATTTACTTTTAAACCAGGACTTGGACAAGAGCTTATGGGACCTTAAGCAGAATATGATTAAGCAACTCCGTCTTTCTGTCAAGAACATCCACCAGCAGGGTATCCAGGGGGGGATTTACCATTAGGCAATACTAGGCAGTTGCCCAGGGCCCCAAGTTCTGGGGGCCCCATAAAACTCTGTTTCCATGTATGGTTAATACAACTAATCCTTATTTGTGCACATTAATTATGTTTTTGATAAAAATCCTTTGGCTAATATGCCATCAGAACGCTGATAAATAGAGAGGAAAAAGGGACAAGAAGAGAGGGACAAAACCTAGAACAAATAATGGATGTCTATTCTATTAACATTTCTCTATCTGTAGAATGGGTCTGTTTTATGGGTTTACTTCTCAGGGGGCCCCCTGCCTGTCTTTGCCTAGGGCCCCAAATTTCCTAAATCCGCCCCTGAGGGTATCAATACTGATTTGATAGAATCTGGGAGAGCGGACTATGTTCAACCATCCATTTTCTTTAACCTTATCCCTCAGTGGGATCAGGAGGTGCTGGTGCATATCTCTAGCCACGTTCTGGGTGAGAGGTGGGATCACCCTGGACAGGTCACCAGTCTGTCGCAGTATGTTCAAGCAGCTTAAAAGTAATCAGTAATCAGATTTATTATTTGCACTTTTACTAAGTGAACTTTCTAACTCCCTTAAATCTGAAATTCCAATGCCAAAATGGTTTAAATCTTTTATCTTTGGACCCCCAGCAGAGTGACGTCACACCTGCAAGATCCTATCCTTACCTCCCTGCTAGATTGCAAAAAGCAGCTTGCTCATGAGTTGTCAACTTAACACGCTAAATCTTAAATGTACGTGGCAACACAACACTATCAAAGTCAGGAAAAAGTTTTAAGTAAAGCCGGGATTAAAACAGTAGCTACAAGAAGCTTCAAATAAAAGGTGTTCTTTATGTTCAACTAGGGTGGCCATTTCTATAGCACCAAAAAGGAGGACATTGTGCGGCATATCAATAAATTACTAAGGTGTACATAAGAATCGGGTAAAGTCACATTTATAGCACAATTCTTAGTAGTTTAAAGAGGATGCTTGTGTAGCTGAATAGAACAAAATATTAAAGAAATGTAAAAAAGAATTGGTTCCCAGCATTTGTATTTATTTAATACATTGTGGTGTTTAAAAAATGACCATTTTTTAACACAATTAATTTGCGCAGAACTGCTGCAATTGATCATAAAGCAGTTGTTTGGAAAAGAAGCTCGAGAAAGAGCTAGAGAATAGGACGATGCAAACTGCAAAAAGTGGCTGGAAAAGAGGAATTCATGACATGGCCGCAGCCTGTCGAGAGTAAAGATGATTTCACCATGTTCTCTATCTATCCATATCTATATCTATATAGATATATCTATATCTATATAGATATATATATATATATATAAACTTGAGTCATGGAACTGTGCTTACAGCTCCTTATTTCATGTAAACTAATAACTTGTGTACATGATACTTGTTGATGGCATTAAAATTATTTCTAATAGCATTAAAAGAGCATTAAATTAGAGCTCCTCATTCCTGTATAAAACCTGTGAACGCTTAATTTAATCTGACATATTAAAAAAATCCCCATCATCATCCAGCAGATGTTCAGTTTCTGGCTGCCCAAATATTTTCTTTCTGTTGTGGATTTTTGTAACAGGGATAACTAGGATCATACATAGTTCTCTGTTTATTCTCTGCTTCCAAACTCATCTCTTCATCCATTCCTGCAATAAGAATTTTCTTTTAAAGTTGTGAGATTCACTCTAGAATCTCACAACTTCTTCCTGGTCTGTTGAAGCACCAATAGTCTGCATCAACTTATTTAATTAATTGCTCTTAGTTTTTGGGAATATATACAAACTATGCTCTAATTTCTAGATACCGATCTGTTTTTACTATAATTTAATTTGACAAACCGGGTCTTCTCTACATTCTTTTTTCTGTTTGCGATTGCAATAGCGGGTCTTGATCTGGACGGACCGGAGGGGAGCAAAAAATAGCTCAGCTCCGTATTTTGACGGTGAAGGACGGAGAAGACGTACGTGGGCGGTGACGAGCGGAGGATGTGGAACAGCTCTCATTGATTTACATGACAGACAAGTACTCCGTACGTGAGCGGGATGGAGCGCTGACGGAGTATGTGGAATCTGGGGGTAAAGGAGGACAAATACACGTCCGGCTGGGTGCAGCGCCGGACGCCGGACAGTGCAATGAAAATCCGGACTGTCCGCCTTAAAGCCGGACATCTGGCCACCCTATGTTCAACCTAAACACCAACTCCAATAGACCATCAGTAGAGCAGGTGTTTAAATTAATCAATCACTGCTGCGAAAGCTTATAGCAGTGAAAGCTAATATACCACAGCCATCACTTAATAAACGCAAAATAAACAACCCTCTAAAAACGGAAAACTGTAATGGACTGAAAGTCCTGTTTTTTATGTGGGAAATTATTTGCGTGTGTTTTAGTATAATTCTGATATATTGGCGCTGCTGTCTGTTTCTATGGCAACGATACTGAATGTAGTGTAGCTTAGAGACCTGCATGGGTCGAGTTTTACCAACCCGCACCCGCCCGAACCCGTTAGGATGACTACCGAACCCGACCCGTCACCCGTGGATATCTTCAATTCAAATGTTATGGGGAGAGGTTGGAGGGGGGTGATGGGGAGAAAGCGAGAGGCAACAGATTCTTTTTTCTGAGTTTTTTGTCGGGGTTTGTGGACGGTGAGCAGCGGGGAGAACTTTTTTGATTTTCTTTCTGAGGAGCGGCATGAATGGGGTTTTAATCAGATATACACAGCACCGAAAGCAAAATACGTGTACAAAATATTGGTGGGGACATGTCCACACCAGTCCTTAAGGAAGTTACACCTATGATTGTTCAGATTAACTTGTCTTCTTTATGGCTTTTATTCGGTGCTTTACTGCATTTGTTTTGGGAAAATATGAGGAAAAAATAAATACAGAAAAAAAAAATATTTTTTTTAAAATCGCAAAATAATTATAGGGTGGCTAATGCCAAAGAAAGGGTGACTGAAGCCACCCTTAAATAGGTCTAACGACGCTTATGCTGTCACGGTCAAAATACGGAGCTGAGCTATTTTTTGCTCCGGCCAGGTCAAAATCCGTGATTGCAATCGCACCAAACAGGAAAAAGAACGGCGAGTATATCCGGTCTGTCACAGTAAAATATAGTAACAATAGATCAGTAACTACAAATTAGAGCATAATTCTTATATATTCCCTAAAACTAAGGCCATTTAATTAAATGATTGGATGTTAACTGTTGGTACTTCAATATACCAGGAAGCAGATTTCTCATCTCCATCAAAATATTTATTTTACACCAAGAGGTTTAAAGGTTTAATCGCATCCAGTCAAAAGAAACTTTGTTACAGAAATCCACAACAGAAAGAAAATATTAGAGCAGAAACTGCACATATGCTGGATGCTGATGGGGATTTTTTAAACTCAAAGGAAGTCGGTGTGGACAAGACGGGAGGAACAGCGGAGGGTGTAGGCTTTGCTTTCCGCAAGCGGTCTCGAGCGTAGCGGGGTGGGGCGGAGCGGCGGAGGATGTGGGATTTTGGGGTAAATGGTGCACACAACTGAACCGGACTGTGCCAGACAGAACCAAACCGGTTCAGTTGAGGCTCGGTTTTCGGGTAGCTAAGAGCGCATTAATGTGTCATCTCATTACAGTCAGCCTCCGTAATGATGACATTTCAGACATTAAAAAAAACACTAGCTTCCCTCCCGTGCCACACGATTCCCAGTGATGATTTTGCTCATTTGAATCCACTTTCTAACTTCGTTTTTTTTTTAACAACGGCTGCCTTCTTTGCCTGTCTCTCCGCAAACAACAAAATATCATAATTATAATCAAACGTAACTTCCTGAATGCTATGGGCGCCACCATGTTGGTTTGCTCGATTCTCTCTGGAGAGCAGTAGTACCGTAGATCGTCACTAGGAGGCGTGGAACTGTGCTAGCATGAAGTGGAAATGGTCCCAAGGTACCGCGCTCAGCATGGTTAACTGATCCATGCTCGGTCCAAACTCGGCAAGGATCAGTTTCAGAGGGATAATGGAAATGGGGCTTATCTGCTTGACTTAAAGGAATAGTACACTTTCGTCTGGTTTGGTCTGCCGCGGTTTCCGTAGACTCGTGAACGCGCTTTCAGGAAATACTATACACTACTGTTTATGCTCTAAAAACATTCTAAATGACTTCGTTTCGAGTAAATTATGGACGCTACCCACTCAGGACACTTGGAATACATTGGACGAGCAGTATGGAGGAATATTGACACGCTTTTTGTGGACTTTTATGGAGCTTTCTGCCTCAGGCACCATAGACCTCCATTATTTGAATGTCAGCAGACAGCAAGAAGCCTCCCAGATCTCCAGATGCATTTGAGATATCAAAAAAGTACTCCAGAGTGTTGTTCAGCATGGGGGTGAGTAGAAAATGAAGGCTAATCATGTTTTGGGTGTACTATTCCTTTAACATCAATTCAACCTCGAGAGACTTATATGGAGAAAAATCAGCCATTTGACAGTTTTATAGAACTAAATATCCGTCTTTAGGGGTCAGACGTGCTGCCGAATCATCCACAGCCTCTAGACCTCATGAATGGGGGAGAAACTAGCCACCAAAATCCATGCAGCCTGCTGCTTTCAGTTCATGATGGAATCCTGAAGAACTTCTGAGGTGGAACATGGTACCAGCCCCTAGTCCAGAGGTCAGCAACCCATTTCCAAGGAGCCATTTTGGACCAGATAATAATATGTCTTGAGGCACACAAATGTAAAAGGTTTATATAAGCCTCCTAATGGCTCTAGTTGGATATTAGGCCACTATCAAAATGACTTAGTAGGCTTAGATGCATGAGAAGTATTCATGATTAATTTTTATTTTCCCTGCAGCTCATCCTGGAGAAAGAGACACACGTGCCTAATCTGCTGTAGGATATTTGGTGTTTGAAATAATGTTTTTGTAATTTTACAATCAAATTTATTTAAAATCTTTTCCCAGCACCCAGTTTCCCGTATTTTAATGATATTTTCTTAGCTACTGACTCTGGTGACTGTTGTTTTTTTGCTCTTAGACCTAACTGCAGCCCTTGAAACAGTGGATCATGCTATCCTTTTATTTCGTTTAGAGCATTGGGAGGAGATCCGATCTTTCTGAATGATCAGACATTTTGTGTCAGTCTGGGAAATTCTGTGTCCTCTGCTCCTCCTCTTATATGGGGTTCCTCAGGGTTCTGTCTTGGCCCCTTCTTTTATCCTGTCTGCTCCCATTTGAATCCATCCTGTTTGGTCCAATTGCAATTGCGAATCTTGACCTGGCAGTGACGGACGGAGAAGACGTACGTGGACGGTAAATTGCGTAGTAGCGGTGGATTTGGAACAGGGCTAATTGATTAACATGACAGAGAAGTACTCAGCACAACTTACATGAGCTGAGGGCTGACGGAGTATGTGGAATCTGGGGGTTAGACATAAATGAACTGATGTTAACATCAGTAATGAAAGATGAAGCGTGAAAAGTAGTGATTAAATCAAAGAATATGGTGTAAACTTAGTACCTAAATGTATTTAAAAGTGACTCAGTCCAGATTGATGTCTAAATCCTTTCTAATATGTTTTAATGTTTTCCTGCAGATGTTGAGCAGGTTGGTGATGGTTAAAGAAGAAGCTCCTGAAGAGCACACACCCTGTGCTGTCCTCCATGACCCAGAGCTCCACCACATAAAGGAGGAACAGGAGGAGGTCTGCACCACTCTGAAGGGAAAGCAGCTCCATCCAAAAGAGGAGATTGATGCCATGGAGTTTCCAATCACTGCTGCTCCCATAAAGAGTGAGGATGATAAACAATCCTCTGTTCTCTCACAGCTTTATGAAGAACACATTAAAGACGAGCTTCCAGTAGAGAATGATGGAAGAGAAGAATCCATGACGATACAAGATCATAAAGATGGCTCCATTTCCTTAAAGACTGAGGAGGAAAACGATGCAGAGCTCTCCATCTCTGAGACCAAACACCTATCAGCCTCTGTGATGATAAAGAAGGACATGGAGGATGACTGGAAGACGGTTACAGTTCCTGAATCAGAGACAAACATGTCTAACAATCCGTCTGGCTCCTCTGAGTTTGCTGAACAATATGTTCAGAGTAGCTGTCCTCAAAAAGACATGAAAAATTCAGAAATGGGGTCTTCACAGTCCCTGGATAATGAGAGGCCGCTCGCAAAAAAGACAAATGTAGACTCGCAGAATAATGTGCAAAAGAGGGTGAACTTTACCTGTGAAGACTGTGGAAAATGTTTTTCTAGAAAAGTCCATTTAAAACAACACCTTATAATTCACACGGGACAGAAACCTTTCTGTTGTGACGTTTGCGGACGAGATTTTAGCCTGAAAGGCAATTTAAAGAAACACATGAGAATCCACACAGGACAGAAACCTTTCTGCTGTTATCTATGTGGACTAAACTTTAGCCAAAAAGGACACTTAAACACACACATAATGATTCACATTGGACAGAAACCTTTCTGCTGTGATCTATGTGGACAAAGTTTTACCCTGAAATCATCTTTAAACCAACACATGATAGTCCACACAGGACAGAAACCTTTCTGTTGTGACATATGTGGACAAAGTTTTAGCCAGAAAGGACACTTAAACAGACACATGCGGATCCACACGGGGCAGAAACCTTTCTGTTGTGACCTATGTGGAGAAAGTTTCAATCAGAAAGGAACCTTAAACAGACACATGCGAATCCACACGGGACAGAAACCTTTCTTTTGTGATCTGTGTGGACAGAGATTTATTCAAAAAGCAAATTTAAACAAACACCACATGAGAAACCACACTGGAGGGGAGAAGACTTAACCATGAATACTGCTGTGGTTCAAAAAAATCTATTTCCTATGAAATTCTTTGTAATATTGATGGAATCTGCCTTTTTCAATTCCGATCTGGGCCACAAATCCGATACCGGTCGGATCTGCTGTATAAACGGCCAAATGACCCATATTGGAATTAGTATGATGTAACTATAGGGAAGCACGATATTGGGATTTTGGCCGATATCCGATATGCCGATATTTTAAAACTCATGTAGCCGATAACCGATACTGATACCGATGTTAAAGCTGGACAAAAATAAGTAGTCATTGAAAATAGCAGTTTCATTATCCATTTCTGACACTTTGAAAAATAATATATTCAAATATATTTTCATATGCTGATATCAAATTGATTTTTAAAAACGCGGTATCAATCTATTTTACTTTTTAAAATCTCGTGAAATTTCATCGTTCTGTTACAAACTCTCGTGATATTTTGCAAATTCTTGTGAGATTTTGTTAGTAAGATAGATCGATACCGCGTCAATATATCAAAATATAAAAATATGGCAAAATTTCGTAAATTTTCGGGGGATTTCGTAGCATAACGATGACATATAGCAATATTTCATTAGTAAAAGAGATTGATATGGTGTTTTTAAATGGCAATATATCAGCATATGAAGATATTGTGATATTTTAATGTATCAATATTTTTTCCCTCGTCTTTAGAAGTTTTTAAGTCTGTAAAAAAGAAGTTTTTTAGGAAGAAGAAGTATTTTTTTTTTTTTTTTTTTTTTTTTTTTAGACTTTAGAAACTCAGAAGCTGATCAAATATCGGGTTAAATATCGGTGGGGTGGCCGATGTCCGATATTCAGTTTTATGGCCGATACAGGCCGATACCGATAGGGGGTCGATTATATCGTGCATCCCTATAACTCTATACTAACAGCGTGCGGACAAAAACAAATACAACAAAACAAAGATGGAGGACAGCGAAAATGGAGCTTTAGAGTGGAAGGATAACAAACTTTAGGAATTAACTATTTGGGCGGATATAATGATCTAAAAGATACTTGAAGGTTCATACTCCAAGGTTCAATATGCCTTGCAATTGTTTTTCTGCACATGTGGGTCCCTTCAGGGGCAACAATTTGAGACTGTCATAGACTTAGACTTAGGCTGTACTTTATTGATCCCTTGGGAAGACTCCCTCCGGAAATTAAGGTTACCAGCAGCTTACAGGGCAAAAAAGTATTAAGTTAAATTAAGTTAAAATGGATATGGATATGGTCATATGGATAACTACAAAAAACATCTCTGACAGAAAATCTGAAATGTGTATAAAGACCTGTAGTGTGAACATAGCCTTAGACTAGGGCTGGGCGATGTGACCTTAAACCAATATCCCGATAAATTGGACAGTTTCTCTGGCTCCACTATCAGAAATAACAGCATCTGCAGGAAATGCAACTGATCTATTTATAATTTATTAAATAAATAACATTACACATTTCAATTAAATATTAAAGTCTTGTACCCATTCAAGTTTAAACATTCAACAATGTCTCATTGAACGGGAGAAAAATGTTTTGTCTCTTGCAAACATTTTTGGGCAAAGGTAATGGAGCTTTTGCACGTCTTTGAACTCAACAGCGTGGCTGTGATGTAGGTGGTGGAGTATTGATGTGTTACTTTGGATAGTCCTGACAGTTTTCAGACAATCCTTGCATTTCATGTTCTTTTGCTCAACACCTATGGTGTAATTTTGGTGCCACTGAACTGAGCGTGCAGTGAGAATAATGTGCGTCGTTTAAACTTGCACACCCTCACTCACAACCGGTCTGCCAAGCGCTAAACTCTGACAACAAACTCCTAACTTAATCTCTGCTCCCGCTCACCTCCACAGGATTAAGTGATGTAGAGATGCTTCTTTTTCTTTAGACCCTTCTTCACTGTTCTCTTTGTTTATGCTGCAGACTGGATTTGTGGAGTTGCATGATTAGACACACGCTGCAGTGTCTTAAAGGGGAAGGAAATACCAGCCAATAGCTTACACAGGCAAAATAGTAAAATTAAGTTAAATTATTTTACCGACATGGGAAAATTGTTGGCAGTTATCGTAGTGAATGGTGGTAACAGTAGAATTTCAGTATATCGCCCGGCCCTACATTAGACTTGAGATTTTTATTTTTTTATTTTAACGTTTTCTTTCACTGTAACTTGTTTAAATTAAGTCTAAGTGGAGACTTTCACTGCTCTTTAAACTTTAAGTTAGAAAACTTTGTCTAGTGCAGAACAGGACAGAACATCGAACTTTGAGGGTCCAAATGGCAGACTGAATGAATTACCATAGATCATTATTTAACTGGACTGTATAGTTAAATTCTTTTTTTTTTTCCTATAACACTGCACTAGATATTTGTGTGTCAACTGTCTTCACTCCTTGCTTTTTAGATGACATCTTTTTAGGAATTTGTGTAACTGGCCTTATGGAAGAAGTGATCTCGTCCTTTATTTAGAAGAAAATTCCACATTCATCATTTTACCCCTGTTTCTTAATTTCTCTTAGGAACAAACACATTTTATAAATGCTACAGACTTGATGTAGGAGTGTTGTGCAATCACTTAGCTGTTATCAAAACAGTTTTTCACTAAATGACTACATTTGTTGTTACTTAGGATCTTTAAAGTTCATCAGATCATTAAGTCAAATTGATTCAAAGTTTTCTTAGTAAAACCAGTTGATGTCATCAGCTCATTGACTTGAATGTAATCCCTCACACTAAGCATGCTTGTAGCAACAGTAGAGAGGAAAAACTCCCTTTTAGCTGGAAGAAGCTGCTATAGCTACCTATGGTGGTAGCTATAGCAGGATAACTATAGATGCACTTTCAGAATAAAGTACCTAATTGTACCTTTAAGGATACAAAGGCTTGTCACTGGGGTGTTATCCTCAACAGTGGGTACTTCTATATACCCCTATAGATTGTACCTCATAGGTTTAGAATTGTACCTTTGGTGATAATCTTGTGCTCTTTTGGAAAAGCAAAATATAAATAATAAAGAAAAACAAATAATCATTTAATTTTAATTTACTTTTATTTTATCAAACCACCAAACGTACACATCTGAGGTGATGTACAACATTAAGCTTTATTTCGTATTTTAACATTTCAAGTTTTCATTTAATCTGAAAAATACAATTTCACACTGTAACATACAAAATGTCATCAACAGAGTGCGTGTCATTTGGCTGAAAGTCAATTTCATATCCACATTCTACTTGCAGTAAAGTCCATTCTGCATCCATCTTTACTCTGTATGCATGAAAGTGGTTGTCAAATGATAGGGGAGTCTGTATTTTGCCTCAAAGAATCCATATGGTGTCAATTTTGAGGATGTATTTAATTTGCCAAAAAAGTGGCACAGCATTTGAAGGCAGAAAATCTATGATGAAAACATCTCTGATGGCATACTTGACAGTGTTGATTGTTAATCAAATTGACCCAAACATTTGAGGATTTGGGATTTCTGTTTGGAACACTAAACACATTTAATGCTGTGCAGCAGTTTCATAGAGGACTCTGATTATTGTGTGTCTATCATTTGTGGTTTTCTTATATGGCTCTTTGTGGTCAAGCTTTTTTTACAGAGCTTTAGGGAAAATTGGGATTTCAAAAGTAGAAGACATTCCAACACTAGTTACAAAGCTGTAAAATAAAACTTTTATTTATTGGTTGGAAGTTAAATACTGTTTTTTTTATTGCTTGTTAAATGTAAGAAATAAAAAAGTTATACCGTAACTAATATATAAATTATGCATTTGCAATATTTGGCATTTACAGACTGTCTTCTTAATGTTTCATGCTTAATAACTTTGGTGAGAAAATGAATTTGATTAACTTTCTTTGGATAGATAGGTACAGAAATTAGGGCCACTGGAAAAATATGATTTTTAAATTTCAAGTATAATATGAGAAAAAGGTCAGAATTCTGACTTTAATCTCAGAATTCTGACTGAATATTGACAGCTAACAAGCATGTTAGCATCAAGCCGTAGCCATATCTGTTTTAGAGACTAAAGTAGCTCTATTGTTTTAATCACCTTATGCTCCTCCATTAAGGAAATAGCATCACCGGGGATGCCTGGGGCATGTAAAGAATTAATTCCGTCATTTTGCATCAATGTGTCACTGGCCCTCCCAGACAACTCACACCTTTGTCAATGAAGCAGAGTGCTCCCACATCTCTTCCTTCATGGTGCCCATCTACATTAAGATCCAAAATCTGAGAAAAAAGTCGGAATCCTGAGATTAAAGTCGGAATTCTGAGATTAGTTGGAATTGAGAGATTAAAGTCAGAATTCTGAGATTAGTCGGAATTCTGAGATTAGTCGGAATTCTGAGATTAATTGGAATTGAGAGATTAAAGTCAGAATTCTGAGATTAGTCGGAATTCTGAGATTAATTGGAATTCTGAGATTAAAGTTGGAATTCTGAAATTAGTCGGAATTGAGATTAAAGTCAGAATTCTGAGATTAGTCGGAATTCTGAGATTAAAGTCGGAAATCTAAAATAGTCGGAATTGTGAGATTAGTCGGAATTCTGAGATTAGTTGGAATTCTGAGATAAAAGTCTGAATTCAGAGATTAGTCAGAATTGTGAGATTAAAGTCGGAATTCAGAGATTAAAGTCAGAATTCTGACTTTTTGTCCCTATATTAAACTGAAATATATTTAAAAATCAGTTCACTTTTTTTTCCCCCCATGGCCCTAATCCCCTTCCGTAGATAGAACAACTGAACTTTCATACATTTACCTGGATGATGCTGAAGAAGCACCTTGCTGCCATACTTCTGGAGACACAGGTTCTAAAGTGGTTGGTAACACTGACTCTTTTTGCTTGGACAAGAACTCATTAAATTTCAGTCTCTTCTTGAAAGATCCTTGGAAAAAATACTGCGATCATGCTCTCAGGCCAAAACCAATTGCATCACCATCCACACCATTATCTGAAAGTTTCAAAAAGATAAACACAGTTCTATTCAAATGCATGGGAAAAAGTCAGATATTGGTTGGACTAACCATATTCTGGCCCTCTGTTTATAATATATTTGACAATAAATGCAAGATTTAACTTAATCAAAAGAGCACTTATTCATCCCCCACTAGCACCCAGGAATTAAAGAGAATTTTTTCAGACAAAGCAAATAATTAAAAAAAAAATGTAAATAACTTATTTAGGCTAGTTGGTGTTTCTTGTTATTACATTAACATTAATTTTTGCCATCAAAATATCCATATTTCTTTAATGTCACAAAGGTAATAGGTCTTGTCC